AGGCAGGTGTATGTAGTGTATCGCGCGTGCGATGCAGTCAGGTGGAGAGTTTGTACTGCGTGCTATGCGCCGAATCGAGGCGCTGACGCCATTCTCTCATGCCGTTGGCTACCTGCGGAATGGGATATATTATTTTGGCAATATTTCTACGATTAAACCTCATCAAATATTAACAATTTAAAACTTTTAACCAGATCACGTTCGATATGTAAAAGATCAGTGTAGAGCATTTATGTCAAGTACATTTTAACATAAGATCTTGTAGGGAGAGTAAGTGGTATCGAACTATTCAGTTACAAACAATCCAAACTTCATTTTTAAGAAGAATTTTTAGATTCGTCAGGATACATTCCTTCGAATACGTTTGTTTTTGATGATAAAAGTTTTATCACTGATCCTTATGCAGAATAGTTGATGTCCAATTTATTTGTGTGCGGAATGGATAGAAATTTGTACATTGGTAGATCTGAAACCAAAGAGATCCAATGTCGAAGAAAGCCAAAATTATGGTCGAACTGGTGTAATTGATTCTTAAGGAATAAGTGTGATATAGAGTTTGAATATAATGATTTCCATTAAATTAGAAAAAGACTGGAAGTCCTTTAATAAATACAAGGAAAAGAACCTTCTCAAATGGACAGTTGTATAGTATTAGCATTATGTTTTAGAACCGCAACAAACTGCAGTATATACTATAAGCAAATAATTTAAAATTAAAAATTTTGTACAGCCGACTTCAATATAAGTTATTTAAGAATAACTTAAAAACTATTGGTCTGACCTTGATCAAATTCATATGGGACCACACGAGAAGTACCAGCTTTCAAATAAAAAAAGAATCATCGAAATCGGTTCACCCAGAAAAAAGTTCTGAGGTAACACACATAAAAAAAAACATACAGTCGAATTGAGTACCGGCTCCTTTTTGGAAGTCGGCAGAAAATAAACAAGTACAGGAAGACCCATTCCCAATAACAAGTGGTCGTCCGCCTCAATTTTCTTTCATAGATAGATATTATAATACTTTATTGCACTTGTAAAATAAAATAAGAGAGCAAAAATAAAATAAAAAATGTTAAAATGTCTTCCAGACAACTATTGTATGGACAGCATTGCAAAGCGACAAAAATCTTAGTGGGTCGGTGGTTTTACTAGTATTCTTAGACAATCTCGAGCGTATCTACCTCTGTGATTTTACGTGGTAGAGCCACGCTTTCACATAACACTAGCGTAAAACAACGGAATAATGCTTTGTTTTGTATGGTGAGTGTAGAATATAGCGTGTACAATCTTAGTTCTCAACACCAAATTTTGATTCTCAGTCAAAGATAGATGTATCATCATAGACATATGTAGATCATCAAGTGGACCGCATGCTCGCTACTTGCTCTTATTATATATATATATACACACAAAGTGTGGCATGCGTGTGCGTATGCGTGTGCGTGTGCGTGTGCACGTGTGCGTGTGCGTGTGCACGTGTGCGTGTGCGTGTGCACGTGTGCGTGTGCGTGTGCGTGTGCGTGTGTACGTGCCTGTTGTCGTGCGGGTGCAGCACGACGCGCTGATAGTCGCGGCGCTGGCGCTGGCGCGAGCCCAGCTCCGCCGTGCCGTCGCGCGTGATGAGTCCAAGTGTGTACATGTGCGTGTGCGTGTGCGTGTGTACGTGCCTGTTGTCGTGCGGGTGCAGCACGACGCGCTGGTAGTCGCGGCGCTGGCGCTGGCGCGAGCCCAGCTCCGCCGTGCCGTCGCGCGTGATGAGTCCAAGTGTGTACATGTGCGTGTGCGTGTGCGTGTGTACGTGCCTGTTGTCGTGCGGGTGCAGCACGACGCGCTGGTAGTCGCGGCGCTGGCGCTGGCGCGAGCCCAGCTCCGCCGTGCCGTCGCGCGTGATGAGTCCAAGTGTGTACATGTGCGTGTGCGTGTGCGTGTGTACGTGCCTGTTGTCGTGCGGGTGCAGCACGACGCGCTGGTAGTCGCGGCGCTGGCGCTGGCGCGAGCCCAGCTCCGCCGTGCCGTCGCGCGTGATGAGTCCAAGTGTGTACATGTGCGTGTGCGTGTGCGTGTGTACGTGCCTGTTGTCGTGCGGGTGCAGCACGACGCGCTGGTAGTCGCGGCGCTGGCGCTGGCGCGAGCCCAGCTCCGCCGTGCCGTCGCGCGTGATGAGTCCAAGTGTGTACGTGTGCGTGTGCGTGTGCGTGTGTACGTGCCTGTTGTCGTGCGGGTGCAGCACGACGCGCTGGTAGTCGCGGCGCTGGCGCTGGCGCGAGCCCAGCTCCGCCGTGCCGTCGCGCGTGATGAGTCCAAGTGTGTACATGTGCGTGTGCGTGTGCGTGTGTACGTGCCTGTTGTCGTGCGGGTGCAGCACGACGCGCTGGTAGTCGCGGCGCTGGCGCTGGCGCGAGCCCAGCTCCGCCGTGCCGTCGCGCGTGATGAGTCCAAGTGTGTACGTGTGCGTGTGCGTGTGCGTGTGTACGTGCCTGTTGTCGTGCGGGTGCAG